AAAAAAAAAAAAAAAGCGCCCACCACTCTACAAGTAACAAAACAGGAAGGTACCTGGTACCTGGTAGGGCCTTCCCTCAACAATGCAGACCAGGAGTCATCAGAATGGTAAAGGATGGATGGTGAGGGGACAGGGTCACCTACAAATATGGGAACACTTTCTTGAGCTCTGTGTTCAAAAGGCACAGCACAGGGAAACGTGCCTATACGGATTCCGATCCCTTCTTTTTTTAAAAAATACCATTCAACTGCAGATACTTCTCTTGCAGGAAGGAGAAGGTAACAGAGGGGCAGCTCAGAAGGGAAAAGCAAAGTAGCAACACCACCACCACCCTTCAGGAAATGACTGAGGGAACTACATCTGTGAGACTGGGAAGCTGGTGACTCAGTGGGAATATCATGCCAGCACACAAATATCTGCAAGGTGTAAAGCTGGGAACGAGTGAGATTTTAGGGTGGCGCAAAGGAGGAGCAAACACAGCTAGAGTCTCACGTGAATTTATACTCTGCAAGCCACCAGATTTTCCCAACATACCAGACACAGTGATGATCCATTCTCCTCACACAGATGCCACAGATCCGGCAATGCCACGCCCGGGCTGGTCGCACCAGCTGGCACTTGGCACACCAGTCCTCCTTGACCTTGGTAGGGCTTCCAACCAACACCCTGGAAGAGCCCTTAGGCTCATCCTTCAGTGTGCGGTTGTTGAGACTACCCGACGATTCTGCGCCCGGGAACCCTTTGGTCTTCTCCTGCCCTTTTCTGGTCAGGCATTCAGTCTGGCCGCTGCTTAGAGGTCTGTCATTGCTTGCTGGATTTCTGAGGTAGCCTGGATTCTTCTTGGCTCTGTACAAGGCTAAGAGTATCAGAAATAACCCGCAGGTAAGAAGAGCCAGCTGAGTGGGTCCCACACGCCCTTTGGGGACCACTTCCTGCAGGAACACATAGTACATGTAGCCCAGAGAGAACAGTCCAAGGCTCAGGAAAAACAGAGTCTGTTCTTTCCTTCTGTGAGTGAGGTAGTAGTACCACAGAGCCAGCACAGGAAGGGAGGTCAAAACCACCCCCCCCAGGAGGAAATGCCAGGAAGCCACGCGGAGGAAGACGGGCAGTAGGACGAGCGGGGGAATGATGCTAATGTTAACTTTTTTGGCTCCCCTAAGCCAAGGAATTCGGAGGCGATCGGAAATAGTATCCATGATTCTTTCACAAGTCTCCGGCTGCACGGATTTACATGTAATCCATCTATTCAGAAGAGCACAAAAAGAAGGCACTTCACATGGGGTTTGCTAAACAAAATAAACACTCAACACCGTAGGCCAAACAGCAGGATAAATGATAAAAGGGCCCAAAGGCCAAGTATTCTACTTCTATACTACTAAACATGAGCTTTTCGGATCACGTATCATTTTTTAATACGAAAGAGACTAGCTACCATTTAGAAATGTAACAGTTAAAAACCACTTCTCCACGAAGCAAATATGTAGGAATACACACATATTCTGTACAAGTACTGTTTACGTTTGGGGGCGTATAGAGACTTAAGATCCTCAAAACAATTCACAATCTAGTTGCAAAGACAACATGGGAATTCAGGAAATCTCAGGACAAAGCAGCAAAATCGCCTAATGAACTCTTGTGGGCAAACACTGAGGAGTGCTCAGAGGAGAGTAAACACTTCCGGGTGGAGTCACTAGATGGGTCTCTGTGAACAAACGTGGGCTCGGCCCCTGATCTCCACGGCTGGCTGGCACTGGTGTGGGGAGCTGGGGGGGACAGGAGGCAGGGAGGCGCCCCAATGCAGAGGCACATGTACAGCACAAACCTGTCCTGTGCCCAAGGAGTAAACCTGTCCAGCAAGGCCAGGGGGCTGCCTAAGAGTGGAGATCAAACCGGTAAGAGAAAAACGACTAAGCCTCGTGGACACGCAGTATTTGTACATATTTTTTGCACACTTGGGCTCCTAAGACAACGATCAGCTCAAGGAATAACTCTGACCGTAGATAGACAATTTGGAAACGTAAGGCAACACCTTGAACGTTGAGGGGAGATAACTACATGGGAGTGGTACTGAGCAGCAGGACAGTGGAAAGACCGGGAGCCTAGCTCCAGAGACAGGTAAGGAGAGAACGCAGCAACAGCCCAGGTCTCAAGGGCTAGGAGAGAGGAAGAGCTGGAAGGTTAATGGAAAAGCTGTGGTCTCAAATGATGGAAGTTGTGGAAACAGCATCATTTTTCCATTCATTAAAGCAGAGTGCTCCATTTTCTCAGTATGGACTTTAGACTGAGTCCATTTAAAAACACCTGTAAAAAAGACTACAGACACTATCAAGGAAAAATTACAAAACGACTATGGGGTCTTCAGGGCTCTAAACTACAATGTCCCAAGAACACTTTTCATGTCGAGATGGATGTACCAAGATCTAAGTCAACAATGTTCCTCTGTGGTGACTTTTTTAACCAGATATAATTATTAAAGGGAAAAGCAACTTTCCAAACGTCCTTATTCTTCTCCCACATTATGCTTTCCATATGGCAACAGTTTTTAGATATATAATTATTTAGAAAATGGATAAAACCTGTTATTACTGTTGGGCACAAAATTTTTCTCACTGATGTTAAAAATCATCTTTTTGGATAGTAATTTCCAACACTGGGGATTAATGGTGAAAATAAAAGCCAAATACAATAATATCGGTCAAGACTGTGTTGCTGCCCATGCTGAAAACAGCCAGTCGGGGGAAGGGAGGGCCTTCTGGTGAGACCAGTTCCAACAGCAGGAAAGCGATCCTTCTGCCCTCAAGACCCTTTGTGGCCAGGTGCAGTCCATCCTCAAGTAGTTGGTCGCTAGATGCTGAGACCACTGAGAATGTAAGCACTTTCTGGTACTAATGTGTTCATTTTAAATGTACGGATTCTGCGGGTCTGTACTTTATTTTTTTATACATTTAACTTGTCACTATCCCTTTATTTGCCTGTTCTCTCCATCATCTTCTCCCTTTAAAAATGAAAAAAATAATTATGTGCTACTAAACTGAGCCGAATAGACAGTTGTGCACTACCCAATAATTCATCTTTACAAAACCCTCACACTTGACATAAAAGACGACTATTTCAGACCCTTGGAAACAGCATCGGGAGCAAATTCTAGTGTTGTGGATGGCTAAGCTTAAAGTATGCATGGTAGTTCTCAAAACGGCGAGGGGGTCAGCATCAAGAAACACTCCGCCCTTACCTATCGCACCCTTCATCGAGATCTTGGCAATCGCACAAACAGGCAGCCACGTGGTTCTTTTCCCCATTTCGATCTATGTACTCGCAGCAGCACAGGGGCTCCAATTCAGGTTCTTCCGCTTTGTTTGTCTTCACTGGCTTCATACTGCCCATCTGTGTCACGATTTCCACCTGTCACCATGAGTGGTAAGAAGCCCTCAGAAGGTAAAGGTGGAAAGAACACAACTCATCTTGTAAACACATCCACGCCTCTCTCTGATTATCCGCCAACGCCTGAGAAATCAAAAATGAGAAGAAAGAGGGGGAGGGGGTGTCTCGTTCTCATCATGCTTTTCTCTCTCGGCTTGGCCAGACAGGGAGTCTAAGGGCTCCCAACCGCGTTCACCGTCCCTTCCCACCAGGGCTGGAGCCGTCTGGGCACCAGCCGTTCCCATGGTGACAGCCGACCACACAGCCCAGGACAGCCAGGGCGCGGGCGGCTGCGCTCACCTGCCGGTGCAAGCTGGGGAGGGCCGAGAGGTCCCCGCCCAAAGACTGGGCGCAGGTGGAAACTCACCCTCGGGGCTGCGGCCGGCGTCTGCAGCCGGCTCCGGGGAGGCCACCAGGCGCCCGCGCAGCGCTCAGAGTCGCCGTCCAGCCCCACCGCTCCGGCTCCGCGCAGGGCGCCCCTCTCCCGCCTCCGCCGACCGTGAGGACGTGGGCGGGCCGCGAGCGCCGCCCCGCCCGAAGAATGACCTTGGAAAGGAAGTTACCTGCGCTCCAGGGCCGAGGTGCGGCTGCAGCCAAAGAGGCCGAGGTGGCGGGGAGAACGGCCGGTTCCTCCCGAGGCGCGGACGCGGTTTCCCAGCTCGGAGCCGCTGGGCTCTCGGTGTGACGGCTGGAGTCTCGAGGACCCCGGCTCCGCTCCGCCGCGCATTCGCCGCCGCCGCCCACCTGTGAGGACATGGCTTCCCGTGCCGCAGCCATGGTGAACGCGGTACCGCCTCCCCATAACTTTTTTCCCCTGCCGCCGGGCGTGTGTAAGAATCACGCGCTTCCAGTTACCCCACTATCCGGCGCCGAGGGTCCCCGCCCGTCCGCATGCCGCCTGCCGCCAGCGGAGCCCGCCAGTGAGGCCCTCCCGGCCGGGCCCTGGCCGGGACGCGGGAGACGGAGGGGACCGGGACAACGCTCCCCGGGCGCGAGCACCGGCAACCGAGCGCAGGGCTGACCCGGCACCTCCGCCCTCCCGGCCCCAGTGCATTCCCTGCCCGCGGGCAGGCAGTGCATGGGCAGAGACAACCAACCACGGCCGGGGGAAGTGCCAACGAAGACAGACCCAGGGGTGGAGGTTCCCAAAGTACCTGAGGGACTCGTGGGTGGGACAGCCTTCATTCAGACACTGGCAACGAGGCTTGGGGGATCTCCACCGCAGAACTGTTCCCAGTGCCACCCCAAAATTCTCCTTCCCTTAAGGCCATCACTTCAGGCATGAATTTATAAAACATTCATTTCATGATTTCTGGCAAGCAGATTCTACATTAGACCAGCAGGCCTACTAGTACTTTTGTTCCAACAGTCTGCATATTTGAAATGAAACTTTACTTGAAGATGACCAATGAGTGCACGCTGGGTTTATTTTTAAAAATTTTAAAGTGTAGGCCCTGCCTTACACTTTTTCACTTTCATATATACATGTTGTAGTTATTTTTGTTTGGGTTTTTTTTTTTTTTTTTAAACAGAAAAAGAAAAACTACAACTCAGACATTTTGGGTTTTATTGGTATCAATTTACATTAACAGGCTGAAATGCAATTAATTGAATTCTGCATGCATACATGTTCAGTCAATCTATAAAGCAACTTTGTTAATTTCCTTTGAGGTATGTTTATGAAGTACAAGTTTTAAATAACATCACAAAAACATTCAGCTTGCCACTGATCATTTTTGTGAATTTAACAGAGAACAAGTCTTCAAGTTTAATATCCGGTGACTCTTACAGCCAGACACTTCATAAATCCTTTTTTCAAAAACCCCAGGTAAGTACACTGGTACCCCAATGTAGGTTTGTTGGGAACCACCCAGAGAAATCCATTTTCCCTGTAATGAAGTTAATACTTTCATTCTCTACAGGCATCTCAAAAATGACTTTAGCTATCTCATGTGGCTTTGGTGACTCTGGGGGAAAAAAGAAACATATAACTAAAGGGAAGCAATTGTCCAAACAGTAAGAATATATACAAATTACTCGGCACTATCTTTCTCTTGTTCCAAAGACATCATATTGAGACATACATGCCTAAAAAATTGTTGTGAAAGAGCCAAAGCTTCTGTCTGGCCTAGAAGTTCAGTCAGTGCACTTGTACTGGGACACAGTGCCCCCAAAAGTTTTTATTGAAGAGCTAAAGTTTGTGTCTGGTTATAACTTCCCAACTGAAACAAGCTACACACGTGAATGAGTAAGTGAAGACATATACGGCTCCTGAAAAGTAATCCACAGATTATTTTCAACCAGGTGGTTCGCTTCCACCATGAAAGAGTGCTAAGCTAAAGCCACGCTTAGTTCAAGTATTCCTTTGATCGGCCACTAAGTGCCCAGATTTCAACATAATCCTCTTGTTTTTAAAATCAGCACGTGGTTCTTCATTTTGAGTGTTGGTACCCTACATGTCTCCTTTTCCAGAATTTACTCTTCCACCATTTGATACATGAAGAGGCAAGATAATCTCACCTCTCATAGCTCCTGAAACATCTATCTTCAAAAAGATACAACGGCTGAAGAACCTTTCAGGTAATAATTACCAAGTTGCAAATTCAGAACCTGACTACTGAATTCCCATGCTAAAGAAAAAATGAAGACACTGTAATATTTACAGTACACAAACTTAGAAATGTTATAATACATGCCTGAAACCTGGTCCTTCACAATTCATAATGATACAGAGGTTTATTCTTAAGTTTTCTTTAGCATCTTCAGTGTATCTCAACTGGGAAAGCAGCCTGTTAAACACGTACTGATTCTGTGCTAACAGATAAAGCATCAAACTTCAAATCTCACTGTAAAAACAAGGCCATACTACTCAGTTTGGAGTGTCTCATTTTCTTTTTGTATTGTGGAAATTCAAGTCCACAACATATTTCACCTGAAATATCCACTGGAGAATAATTCCACTGGAGAAATCCACTGCTTAGAATTACGTATAAGAAGTGAAAGAATGGATCATTAAGGCCATCAGAGACTAGTCATCACATTAATGTTATTAAAAAGATTGTTCATATTAAAAGTACCAATAATGAGAAAATATGGAAATGTTCCTGTGACAATTAAAATCCTTCATCCTCTGGTTTTCTTTAAGACGTTTTCTTTTAGTTCCAAGTATCTCTACAGTTTCAGGCCTTGAGATCACTAGCTTTTGACAGTCATGCCAGTCTTGTTTTTATTTAGTAGATCAAAAGTTCTCTGAAGCATAACAAGTGAGCTCTTTAACTGCAAACAAAATTAATTTTCAAAATAAGATTAAGTTTCACCTGCTTATTTTTATGCCAAAAGTTTACATTTATATATTCGATATAGTTTTGTTTCTACTGATGCCCAGATAAAAGACAATTTATACAACAGCCAGCTGCTTCGGGTGTGTGTCAGTACGCCTGCTCAGGAGCTCTTCCTGTCCACTGTACCCCGCTCTTCTCCCCTCACTGTCCTGTTGCACATTGTGCCTCCCAGTAGGTTGTTTCCTTAAATGGTTTCTCAAGTGGCAGTGGTCTTGCCACTGTCCCCTGAATGACTCAAGTGCCACCTCCAGGCCTTTGCTTGCTATTTCCTTCACGCTTGTATTCACCCATCTAAAGCTTACCCATCACCACCGTCTCCGTGTCACCTTCCCTAGTCATCCTGCCTTTAAACTCCCAAAGCATTACTATGTACTTAACACTTAACTGTGTACTTTTTTTTTTAATTTTGAGAGACCGCACTGAGGGAGAGAGGGTGGAGAGAGAATCTCAAGCAGGCTCTGTTCCGATGGGGGGGGGGGGGGGGAGTGCGATTCCATGACCCTGCAATCACAACTTGAGCCAAAACCAAGAGTCGATTGCTTAACTGACTGAGCCACCCAGGCGCCCCAATTTTGTATTTTTTTTATAGTCTTTAACAATATATCTGATTTTTCTAATAAAGTTATAGGCAACTTGAGAGCAAGAATTATTCTTTGTTTTCATTCCTTTGTTCATTCAGTAAATGTTAATTGCTTACCTCTCACATGCTGGGTTTGACTAAGCACTGCGTATACAATGGTGAACCAAATAGGCGCCGTCCCTGCTGTCCTAGAGCTGACAGACTAGTGAGGGATACAGGACTAAAACGTACCATCACATCTATACATATATGCTCACACAATGCACTAAATTTCTGACTGGAGGATCGTAGTGTCATTTTCTGAAATTATGTCAACTAGAGGAGAATCAGGCCTACCTAGCTCAGGATGAAAACTGAAGTCTGCTTTGGTCATGATCAATTTGGGGTGGCCTGTCAGTACCCAGGAGAAGATGCCAAGTCAGCAAGTGACCGCATGAGTCTGGAGCTCAGGGAAGAGGTTAGGGTAAGGGAAATGGATCTGGGAGTCAATGGCACACATGGCACAACCTATGGGAGTGGATGAGGCCACTTGAAGGGAAGGAGAGGAGAAGGGAAGAGAATCTAACGCAGAAAGTCTGGAGCACTGGACCAGAAAGAGGTCAAGTCGAGGAGGTAGTTTTAACCAGCAAAAAGTCATTTTACTTTATGCTAAGTAAAAAAAGCCAGTCACAAAAGACCATATAGTATATGATTCCATTTATATGAAACGTCCAGCGTGGGCAAACCTATAGAAATAAAAAGCAGATTAGTGACTAGAAGCTGAGAGAATGAAACGTGGTGAGAGGCTGCTAATGGATATAGGGTTTCTTTTGGGGGTGATAAAAATGCTCTGGAATTAGTGGTGATGGTTGTATAACTTTGGGAATATATTAAGAATTCTTTAAAAGGTGAATTTTATAGTATGTCAATTATATCACAATAAAGCTGGATTTTTTTATAGTTTTAAAGAAGGCCAGATTAGATACATTTCATGAAAAGAGTGGTCAGCTCTGTCAAATGCTTACACTGTAAGGTGAAAACTAAAAACAGCTATATTAATTTTAACAGCCAGAGCTCACTGGGGACTTTAGCCGGAGCAATATCAGTGGAAGATATGGGGAAGAAAATAAGGCAGGAGTGACCTGAAGAGCGAATACTGGCTTAAACACAGGCATCCAATTTTACTCCCTCCTGAAACCCACTAAAAGCACAATAAAGGGACTCTTTAAAGGCATACATCCACAAGGACAGAGAGAATAGAAAAGGCAAAACTTTGGAAACAAGAAAGCAGATGGATGACTTAGGAGACCAGAAAAAGTGAACTCCTAAGCTAACTGCAGAGAAAGCTGAGAACCAACCAAATCTACCCTGAAGGATCCTCAAAAGCCTCAGGAATTGACAGGAATCTCTGAAAGTGGGAATATAGAGGAAGGGACTAATGTAATGACTGAATGGCATTTGTGCTCTTCTACTACCTGGTAGAGGTCTACAATTTTATTATCTGGAGAGGATCTCTGGTTGACCCAGGGACAATAAGACACCATTTAGGACAGTGGTACAATCCCCAAAATGGGGATTGTATAAAAGAGTGGTGAGACCATCTTCCTCTGCCCTGCCCTCCTCCATCCCTCTACTTTGGCTCTCCTCCTAAAATGCCAGCAGCCAGCCCTTAATCCTTTGGGTGGAGACTGGAAGACACTTCTTTGTAGAAACTGACCAATCTAAGAGGAAAAGACCCAAAGATAGTGATATCAGGGTTTCTCAACCAACAGCGCAGCCAGATCTACAGAGAAGTTCAGGAGACACCAGCCCAACCTACATTATGAGCTTAACAACTTCTGATCCACACAAGCAGACAACCAAGGACTACAGACATGTAACGAAATCTCCTAACTTTAAGGACAGAAATCAAAACAGGAAAGGATCTTGATGGAAAATAAGTATGCAAGAAGAAGGGAAAAAGTTTTTAGCCATCAGTAATATGATCAGAGAGATGAAGATACTATAGTCATTTAAAAAGATCATAATGCCGGGGTGCCTGGGTGGTGCAGTCGGTTAAGTGTCCGACTTCAGCCAGGTCACGATCTCACAATCCGTGAGTTCGAGCCTCACGTCAGGCTCTGGGCTGATGGCTCAGAGCCTGGAGCCTGTTTCCGATTCTGTGTCTCCCTCTCTCTCTGCCCCTCCCCCATTAATGCTCTGTCTCTCTCTGTCCCAAAAATAAATAAACGTTGAAAAAAAAAAATTTAAAAAAAAAGAAAATTCTGAAGCTATTACCATTCCTCATCCTTTAATCTGGAAACTCATGCCCTTTAGTTCTAGGAAATACTGAATTATACAGTTGATGATCTCCTCTCCTCCACTCTCTTTTCTGACTTTCTGCGGTTCCTGTAATTGAGATGTCTACCTTCTTTTGGACAGGCTGTCTAATCTTACTTTTTCTTTTCAGCTTCCATCTTTGCCTTTTTGTTCTGCTTCCTCAGAGTTCCTCAACTTAATCTTCACTAAATTGTCCCTTTTTCAATTTTTGCTAACAAGTTTTTGATTCCAAAGACCTACTACTTCTCTGAATTTTTTTTTTTTT